GGGGGGGGCAACTACTCCAGGTTAAGTAAAGAGCACGTACTGTCCCCCGTTTCAGCAGCAATCCTAGGCAACAAACCCAAACCCCCAGACACGCCTTGTCCTCGGTGGGGCTTCGTTTCAGCGGTCAAGCGGAGCTACCCTGCGAGGGGAACACAAAGCTTCATCAGCAACGCACGGGTGCACGAAGGTGCTTGAACAAGACTATGGGGGGGGGGGGGGGGGGATTCATGTTTTTTAATAATCCTTGCGCTTCACCTCAGGCCGGAAGCGACAGCACTGCATACCCGCCTGTGAGATGCGGGTACGGGCCCGGTGTTTCCCGGGCGCCCCAGCTGAACACAGCTCTCCCCCGCTCTGGAAGGGACTAGGTCAGAGGTAGGACTTGATTTCTTCCACTTTAGTAGATACACAATACAGGAAAACAATACTGAAGAAATACAAAGCTGATGGAGTGACTCCATTAGAGAGATCTCCATTTGCAATCTCCTTTATGGAAATGCCCATTTTGTTTATTCTGTATTCTATACAAACCTATACTGTGTGGTCTGAAATGTAGTATTGTTACCCAAGGAAATGCCCTGTTGTTTCAAGAAACCACCATCATGAAAAAGTGGCACAGGTTTTTCAGTCCCCAGTGCTGATCTCAGAACACATTAATATTTACTACCATAGCAAACGTTTGCAATACTGGTTTTCAGGTTGCCCTAGACTGTGCCCTGGATCAGCTACCAGCAATTCTAAGTCCTTCGTTTGTTTACTCTCCTGTCTTAAAGACATTCTCAAAACCTGTAAAACTAGATTTTCTCCAACTTTATTTGGCTGACAGTAATTGCAATAAACACCGTTTGGCCTCCTTAAATTTCTTCTGGGCAAGTTAATAGTCAGCACTGGTTAATGAGGAATGATGTGGCACTGTTCATACCTTAGAAATGGCATATAAATACCAAGCTGCCTTCCCTTCCAGCTCTGTATACAGTTAAGACAAAGCAAAGCTATGGCAAACGATCGTACTTACACAGGCAGGCTGCTTCCATTGCAAAAAAGTTGCACAGGTGCAATGAATTTCAAAATAATTGTATGCTGGGCAAGAGCCTAAAGGCAGGGCTTTTTGTTGTCATAGTTGAAAATAAACTTGCTCCAAGCCAGCAGGATTGAACTGTGCCCTGCTAGCCTGCCCCGGGAGCAGTGTTTACAGCCCCGAGTCCCACCCAGCTCTCCCAAGTCAAAGAGGAAAGTGGCTGCCTCTCACATTGTAGAGGGTGGAGGGCAGGAAATAACGAGCAATGCTAAAGGTTTCAAAAGGCCATGGAAGAATTCAGAACCCTTTAAAAGGGAAATAAAGAGATTTTGCTCTTCACCTTTACTGCTACAATGTCATATGATCACGTGAGAGCCATGCCAATGCTCCTACTAAATTATCAGAGAAAAGTACACACAAGGAAGGCCGCCTCTTGTGTTTGCTCCTAGCTACAACCAAGGGGACAAAGCAATATGGTTTGTCCTGACAGACCACAACCACTTTCAAACCAGGACAAGCTCTCTACACCCTGAGTGACTCTGCTTTGAGTTTAATTTCTGCTGGCTCACCCTACAAGGTCTCCAGAAAAAAACAAGGGTAGGCTGAATCTTATTCCTGATGCCTGTTTGTAAGCCAAAAATATAGGTTCTATCTAAATAAGAGCAATTGCTCTTACATGATTAAGTCTTTTAGAGACCCTTAAAACACCTTAAGGATCAGACTTGTCGTGTTACTAGAACTATACCCACTGTTTATGACAGTTATTGGATTGTATGAAAGAGCTAATTGCAACATATTCGGCAATCAGGGCAAAAGCCATTATGTGCATACAGGACAAGAGCAGGAACAAAAACTGGAAGTTCAGTAGCTTTCAAAGCAGGCAGGGCAGCGCAAGCAACCCGGTACGTCACTGAACTCTGAAGGCAAACGCTGCAGTGTCTGCTAGCCATGCCCTGTTAACAGTCTCCTTTAGGAAGTGATAAAGGAGGAAGCGCATACCTTACGTTCCTAAGGGAAGTCTCAGGCTTAAATACTTACCAGGAGAATACCACCTGCATTTACAGGAACTGGTAAATCACCTATTTCAGTTTAATCGCCAATCATGGTGCCTGAAGACATCACTAAGAGTCAGCTCATCAGTTCAAACCTGAAGTCTTAGAGGCAGCTCACTGTACACTGATGTAATTGCTTCATTCACACAAAAACCGCATCACATTTAACACACAGGCAGGATGCAGTCACTCAAAATTAGGAAATGCCTGAACTAAGGCTACTAAACTCATCTTAATTTCCCCAAGTATATACGTTAGTGTTGAAGGTTTTTAATATCTTTTCACTTCTCTGCAGTACCCCAGACTCACTAAGGGCAGAGAACAGATAGTCTGCACATTAAATAACTATTTGATTTTTATCTTATGTTCAGTGTGTAGTCCTGAGGTCTGCTTTTTAATCTAATCCTGCTCCAAAAGGCTAGCAGTTTTGACAGAGCAGAGCTGCCCTTCAGTAAGATGTGCAACAGTATCAAAGCATGGCTTCTGCAGCATAGTATCATGATGAAATACCCACAGTGACTTCCCTTCTGACTGAACCTTTCATTTTCAGGGGGAAGACCTCCAAAGCAGAGTATACCCTTCCTTTGCATTATCTGAGTGAATATACTTCATGACCTTCATTTGTGGGAACTCCTAAAGCCTCAACACTGCTTGGATTCTGCTTCCAATGAGGGCAAGTAGCTGCACATATGTGAGCTATGTTTAGCACATCTGAAAATCCCCCAGAGTGAATACCTGATGTACAGTAACAGCACCAGTAGACTTCAGTGTGGTCTCTACATCTCTCTCAGGCACTCAGAACAGAGAATGAGACCCTGTGGATGCTTGGCTTCACTTCAGAGGAGGTGAGCTGTGTTTATAATTTTTCTAAGTTAATGAATTCCTTAAGGATAAGGAATTTAACAACATACATGATCAGCTATATCCATCAGCCATACTTACACACATCCTGGATGCAATTTCACTGAGAACAGATCTCTTGAGCCTAAGGAGTCCTAAGGAGGAAATAGGAGCCTCAGCTGTTCTTTAACTGTTAAGGCCCCAGCAGCTGTTAGGGCAACACAACCTAAATGATACGTCAAGTATCCAGGGAAGACATCGCCCCCCATGCACTCCTGTTTATTCCTTAGACTTACATTTTTCAGTACATAGGACAGGAGGTCCTTAGGCCATACAGAGTCTTGTTCTGCCTTAATTGCTGCTCTTCATCCTATTTTGCAACTCCTTTGAACAGTTTTCTAACTGAGCCAATATCTACACTTGTCCTTTAGCTCTGCTACAGCATGGCAAGCTGTTAAGAGCTGTGCACTATTCACCCCTATGAAAGACCTGTTTGGACATACTATTCAAAGTAATCTCATAATCTCTTACATGTTCCCTCACAAATATTTAGCTCTAAAATTTGTATCTGAAATAGTTTAGGTACTTGACAGCCTCATTAAGAGAATCAAGCTAATTCCAAAACGCAAAAATCGTTTTGGAAAGACAGACATTGAAGCTAAGTTTCCAAATTAATTCAGTGCTTAATTAAATTTTCAAAGTAGTTGAAGTTACATACTCAACTACCAAAGACTTCAGCAGAACAATAGTGCCCAGCCTGCTAGAGAGGCTTTTGGTATCAGGAGATATCAAGTAAATACTTAGGTTTCTTACGAAGTCTGTTCCCTGTGAATGCTCATGAGTATTTTATCTCCCCTTTTCTCCTCCCTCCCCCTCCCCCCCCCCAAGAAATTAAGGACACCAATCATAAGTTTACCCAGTCAGCATCACCTGCATGCAACATGTCTATAGTCCACATCTTCATGCTTCAAAACCAAATTTGCGTATTTGTTCCTCTATGGAGGCTTTCTCAAATCACATCAAAATCACCAACTTTACTAATGGTTTTTGTTTCGATGGCACCTGCAGTTATTTCCATCTGTTATAAAAAAAGAACCAGAGCAAGTTGTAATGCAAAGTAATAAACAATTTATTTTTCTTTACATCAGTCTTTAGCAAAACAACACTGGTTACATTTAGTGATTCAATTTCTTGTACCGCATGTTTCTGATTTATAGCATGACATTTAAGGGAAGATTCACTTAAACCACTACACTTTTTCATGAAATAAAGTGACTAATTTTCCATTTTTCAGTTAAGCGTGACTGAATATACAACTTTATCAGATTTAAGACCAGCCATTCATTCACTGATTTTTGATGTCTTAAGGAACAAAAGTCCTTCCAGTTCTGCTGAAATATCTTACCACGTTTACAAAGACTGGGGACTGGGAGAAGGGGAGAATCTCTCACAGAAGACACCTAAAAGGCAACAAAAATTCTTTCTATGGATTACATAGCTTGTAAAAAAAAAGAAAAAATCCAATAACACTTGATGATAATACCATCTATAGACATGTACAGGTAAAGCTGGAATACTGTGCAGTTGTAATAGCTAAACATGTAGTGCACCAAATTCCTGACTATTTAACAGAAGATATTTTAAACAATAGATAGAAGTTTCGCTGGAAAGCCATACATAACTATGAGGATGGAGGAATATTCTGCAGGATGCAACTCAGTGATTTGGTTTATAACAACATACACTGGGAGCCTGGCTTAAGGAACTCTTTACACGTGTGCACAATCTTAATATTAAAAAAATAAAGCCTAAAAAATGTTCATTACAATACAGAAAACCATGGAACATTAAATAACAAACTTTTGTGATCATCAATTTAAGGTCTTTATTTGCATTAACAGGTCGATTTCCTAAAGAGTGACGAACGTTAAATCCTCATGCATTGCTTTGGAAGTTCACCCCAATTGTGAACACTTGGTATCTATACAATTCAGCTTTGTAGACCAAGTTGCAATGTATTTTGCTTGGTTTCATCTGGTTAAATACTGCCTGTATATTTTACATATTCTTAACAGGAGTTATTTACTCTTCAAATTTGCCAGATGAAGCATCACTAGAAAACTAGCATTTGCCCCAAAACATTTACAACAGCAAGGCGAGCTTCCTCTGAAGTGGCTTCCTGCTATATTCATCTCAGTTTTGTTCTATGACTTCTAGTGGTCAGAGGTAAGTCTTGGATGCCTGTTCAATTTTTTGACCTTTTGACTGAGGCATCAGTAACGATGCCCAACAAAACGAGATCAGCTTGCTAGCAATGTGAGTAAGATATCATCAACTGATTTCACAACTGTAAGCTAACAAAATACAGAGACATGATTTCCATAAGCTTCCTACTACTCATGTACTAGATTCACATAGTGTAAGAAACTACTTAGTTTTACTGTACAACTGGGTAACAACATCTATAATGAATCACAGTAACACAAAATTAACCTTCATTAAAATTGTAAAAAAAAGAAATGGTCCGGTAACATTGCAAGTCATGTTTTGTCAGCTAGAGAACGTCCTGAACAGCTGCCCCAGAGTTAGTTTTATCTTCACACCCTGAAGACCTTAATGAATTCAGTGTGAAAATATCTCCTAAGTCATAGGGTCAGGTGAAGACTCAAACAAAACCCAGGAGTAACAGATATGCAAGAACAGGGTAGGTACTTACTTCTGAATTATTCACCTTAACATTTCAACTGTTGCCACTGGAAGGACGATCTTAAATTAAATCTCTTTCTAAGCTTAACACTTGAAAACAAGATGAAAAAGAAAGACTGGACATTACAGACTGCTTTAGAGACCAGCTCTTTCAAAACAAACACAACATAACTAGAATATTAGAAATGCTGGTCCCATTTTTATATTCAAATACCAATTGTAAGTAAAAAAAAAAAAAAGGGAATACAGTACATGCAATAATATGAAAAACCTACCTAATAAATTCAAGTAAGCAACCAAGAGTAACTAGGGAATAAGTCCCTCCCCTTCCCAACCCCTACCACTTAACATAGACAAGGTGGACACATTTTAGAAGATAAGTGACATACAAATTGAGATCATACCATGTTTCCCTCACTGGCAAAGATTTGTTGCCTTATTTGGAATTATGTTACAGAGGAAGAGACATACATTAAGTATCAAAAAAAGTCCTGTAAGTTACAGTATTTGCCTCACTTCAGAAAAATAATTCCCTTCCAGATAAACTGTCTTATGATATGCTTATTTAAAGGCGGCAATAAATATATTCTCAAACAAAAAAAACTGTATTGTCCTCAGAACAGTTTTTAAAAAGCATAACTAGTCATGAAATGAGAAAGAATGGCCTACAATCAGGTTTTCATAGTCGGAAACAACACTGCAGCTAAATGTCCCAAGTGTTTCCCTTACAGCTCCTTGTAGCATGCGCATGCAACGTTTGCGGCAAAGATGAATGCATTCAGAGAATATTGTGTTTTTCCTCCACAAAAGGATCTTAAGTTTTTGTGCGTGCGCTGTGGTCTTTATGCTTGAGTCATTGCTAAACATTTATTTAAGAATCCTATCTCTACTGCTATTGTACAATAGTTATACATTCATGCAAAGAGAAGTTACTATGTTTCTTTTTAAAAGATGAAGACTTCATCCTCTTTGAAACCCTATGTAGGTAGAAGCCCTAAAAATATAAAATGCCTTTAACAGATAGACAATTAACTACTAAAACACGGTACTCATGTGGCTAGTTCCATTCTCCATAATATCTGGGTTTTGGCTGTGGCTTTCTCCCCCCCCGATTGCAATGTCTCAAAAAACCTGAATAGGAATAAAATTGTCTGAACAGAATTTGACCTATAAATCCCTTTACAGTAACCGGTATTTTTTATCAATGCAGCTGCCCAAATAAGCACAAATGTATGTCACTGTTCCAGTAATACACTGAACATTCAAATGACAAATAGATACTTGAACATACATACTTAAAGAATAAAACAAGTGTTCCGATCAACAATGCATTTCGTGTCACTTCAGGAAAAGACAAAAGAATGCAAAAGTTGTTTTGGTGCTTCATTCCACACTTCTAGTTGTGACCTAAAGAATGCCTAATTTATTCAAGGACAACATGACAAAAGCCATTTATTGAACCAATATGAAAATGAAAAATATGATGTCCTCCCACATTGTGCCTGTGCTATAAAAAAAACATAATTATGTCAAAAAAATGCAGAACCTTGGCAATGAATGTGGTAAACTGAGTGATGACCTCCTTACTACTGTTTCACATATGGGCACAAAGAGTGTGCTACAGGAAAACAACTGGCAATTCAGCTGTTTGACTACACTGAGATAGATATTCATTTAAGTGCTCTACATACAATTCAATGAACATAATTGTAAACAGAAGTGTTTGGCCTCCATACAGAGCAATATTTCTGAAAGTGCTGGGTTTTGGAAATCTGTCCTGCATATTTCCAAAAGCAACTAGTTTACATTCTGTTTGATAGGATTAATAAAGTGTATTGGAGGTTAACTCACTCAATGAGCTTTGGTCATGATCCCAAAGAAAAGTTTAAGTTGAGTACTTTCAACTATCCTCCTCATCATCACTAATAAGGTCTCTTTTTTCTATGCAGGTCTCCCGTTCACGTAGGAAATCCTCACGAATGGCTTCAAGTTCAGTTAGTTCGAGACGCACTTTCTCCAGGTGATAGGTCCTCCTGTTCCTGATCTGACGTAATGGAAAAGGATTCAGGTCTCCAAAAGCAATAGCAGTCAGTTTCCTGTAGGATTACACAACATTAGAAGACAATTGGTGGGACACTGGTGTCTTTTAAAGTCAGTTTTGAACTTCATTCATATCAATACATGGCTGACACATCAGATTTCCTTTGCCTACCTGACATACCTTAGAAGTTATCACGATTTCAAGGAAGTTCTGTAGAGCATTCAGTTTTAAAAGCTACTTCAAGCGACAAAACACTCTCAAACTCTCAGCAGTGCAAATTCTACATAGTGCTATAGCGATTAGAGCCTTGACAATACCGAACCAAAGATTGCAAGCTTGACTGATCAGAGCTTCATTGGCTAGACAAAACATTTAGTGCATCCCGTTATCTGATTATAGATCAGATATTCCACTTCCTTCACATAATTCATTGAAGCTCACTCAATACCAAGACAGTCAGCTCTTTGCTATACAGGGTTATGAAGTGGTTCAACAGGCCAGATAAAGCCGGGGATAATACAAGTATAAAAAAGGATAATACAGAACATGTATAAGCCAAACTTCATGATATAGTTACAGAGGTCAGGGATTTTGCTGGCTGGAGCATGAAAACCTCTGCGGTTGTGTCAGCTCAAGCTAGCCAAAGCACCCAGCAGAGACCATGAAAGCAGCCATAGTCCTTCCAGAGTCATGCAGTGTAATCCCATCAACTATCACAGCAATTCACTTACTACCTGATCTGCCTAACTCAGTCCAAAGACAGAGGTAACTATCTCAAAAAAGTCAGGTGTACGCCCAAGTACTACACTTAAAGAGGAGCAGCTGCTATAATTCAGGGCTTGGAGACATAATACTTCTATTGCTTTGCATTCAAGATCTCAGCACTAGCTTGCCAGAAACCAAGGTAAGTCATTACTGTTGTTCTACACTTGAAAAAAGATATTATGCACATTTGAGTTCTCCTTTTACCTTTAACAACTTCAGTTTTATTATCCAACTGAACCCAAATATTAACAGATTTGATTTGATCAGTTCATGTTATTTAATGCAGGCTCTCCCTAGGTTTATATTTTTGGGTAAACTAGAATTATTTCATGTTATAAACAATGTATTCCAACAGCTTCTCTACCTGTGCACAAGCATACTATGGAACACAATTTTCATCTGTAGAAAAAAACAGTCCATAGCATTCTATAACCTAGAGTGTAATTATGCATGTTTGTGCAGACTTTTCTCCATTAGAAAACTTAAATCTAGAATTCATGTAAAACAATTTTCTATCCCATTCAGATGTTCGTGAATTCTATAAAATTTTTGATATTTTACTGTACAAGATGACTTGTTGTCCATGTCAGTAATAGACATAATTCTACACACTTTTGTATTGTCTAAATTTTGAGGTCATAAAACTCGTACAAAAATGGTGGAGTAAGAAACCAGATGATTTGAATCACATCTCATTTTACAATTTAAGATCACACAAATCCATTCCTGCAGGCAAATTTAGATCCCCTAGGTGGCACTACACTGCTACACAACGTCTTCTTGCTACTCTAACTTTTAAAGGTCAAAGCAAACAGGGATTTACAGACCAGTGCAGAGTAAATTTGTACTGTGAACACCTTTGATGCACTGAATTCTGTCCTCACCTGAACTGTCACCATCTGACAAATGGCGATACCTGGTTAGTGGGTTGGGGGAGGGGGGGCACGCGTGCGCGCACGCATGTGCATTAACTTTGTTAAAAACAAAATGAGATCTCTTCTAGCAAGCTTGCTCCCCAGCCATGCTAAAAAATAGGATACTTCAGCATCCAAAGTTTAGACAGGAGGCCTAATCATCATGTGCTTTTACATATTTGTAAAAGGAAAGAAAAGCCAAATCCGTAGCTCTAATGAAACATCTAAATGAAGATTATATAAAATTCTGCTCAAATTAAGCAAGAACTTTTTTTTTTGCGCAATTTTTAGTTTCTTGGGATATGTCTGTGAAAATGAAAGTCATATTTAACAAAAAGTGAGTATAAGCTACATTCTTAAAGTATCCACAAATCTCAGGTAAAAAAAAAAAGTGGTAGCTTCATTCCTTTATTTCCTTCATTTCTTTATTGTTTTAGCATGCTCCTTCCCCCAAACCAAGTACATACTACTTTTCTGTCCCTTCCAGATTTGGAATCATAGTCAGTATTTATTTTGGTCACAAACAGCTGAGTACAACAACTGTTCAGCATTTTTCAAGTCGAAGGGGGAATGCTAAGACAAAAAGCACCACGCTACTCCCCCTCAGAGCCTTCACAGGGATTTCAGCAGAGGAAGCAGAAGCTGTTATCAAGCTTTTTACCCTTTAAATTGGGTGCAGAACATTATGCCAGCATCAATCCCAGCAACAGACTATAGACAGAATAAGATCTTTCAGTTTTAACTTGTATCCAGCCAAAACTGAAACACAGGAAGTGAAAATAATAAATAGTTCTTGCAGTCGGAGCCAAAGTGTAAGCCTAGTTCCATACGGAACTTATTGCAGTAAAACCAAACACCGCAGATATCACTATATTTTCTACTAAACTTTAAACCAGTAAGGCTAAATCTGTGCAAAATATATTTTCAACCAATAGAATGATCCCAATATGGCTTTTCTTTTTAATCTTGATATGTTGCTCTACAGCCTTGTAACCACGATAATACATGAACATTAAAACATTAGACCTTAATTTACATAAGCTGTACTTCCTGTGCAAAGTACTGAGGAATGAAAAGAGAAATCACTGCTTCAAAGTATGTTAAAAATCATGCTCTATTTATGTGGTATTAGCCTACACATTAGCGATTCATAACATACCTAAATTCAGTGAGGAACAGCTAGTGTCTTTAATACTTAAGCTGAGGTTTGCTTTTATTTGTTTTAAAACATTTAATAACATAAGTTGCACCCACAATATAGGGTGAGGCTTTTTACCTATGCTTGGCATTCTGAAGTGCTACTTCTGGGATACAGCTGCTAAACAGCAGCAACCTGGCAGAGTCGTCAAAATCATTACTCAGAATTCACAACTGCGCTTTCATCGGTTCTGCTTTTGTTTCCTCTCATTTTTGTAGCGTGAAACAAAGGCATTCAAACAGCGTTTAAAGCAGCTGCTAGGTAAAGTTGGACTACTGGTAAGAAGTCTCAGGAATTACATTTTTATCTCTAGTTATTTAGTATCTAAATAAATACATAGATTAAAAGCAGCAGACTGTTTCTATACCCTACCACAAGTCTTTCAGTTACATACAAGTTTGAGTTACCTACCTAGCATCAAGTATAGTGCGCGTGAAGTATCGAAGGTACTTGAATATGGACATTGAATCTTGCAATTTTAAGATTTCCTCTTCTTTGTATTTAAAAAGTGCCAGGGCAAATCGGAATATTACCTGATAAAAAATACATACTTTTTTATTTTTCTTTTTTTCTTTTTTAAAGAACAGAATGCACCGATTCTCATTTTTATCTAACAAACTCAAAGGAAAAAAGCTACTCTTCCCACAGCTTAACATTTGAGCTATCTAATCATACTCCCCCTCTATCTCCATTCCCTGCCGTTCTCTGCTCCTCCACTCCCCCCACCCCCAAAAGCTGCCAAAAAACTTCTGTTACAGAGTATAACCAGCACAACTTGTTCCATCCAAAATACAATATTGAGCTCATAAGGTATAAATTCTTTGAAGTCTGAGTGCCTAATTCAGTTGTAGAACAAAGACAGCTGGGCCTGTCGAATGCATTACTGACATTATTTCAAAGAAGAAATTAAGTTTTGCTTAATAGTTAGCAAGTTGTATTTCAGTGCCTTGAACTTCCCCAACACGCTGGGAACACATTGGGGAACTGAGGCTAGAGGAATTTGACGCCAGCTTGCCAATCAACTTTGGCAGAAGCTGACGAGGCATTACTTCTCTTCGTTCCGAAAAGGCTTCAGTAAGTTTTGAACTGCGTCAGTCTGTACCTGGCTGCCTTCACAAAATACCTCGATGCTTAACTGATTTGAATGAAAACTCACCAAAATACCAGTGTGTGTTAGC